TTAAAAATTTATTTTAATTGGAGGTTAATTACTTTACAATATTGTAGTGGGTTTTGCCATACATTGACATGAATCAGCCATGGGTGTACATGTGTTCCCCATTCTGAACCCCCCTCCCCCCGCCCTCCCCAATATTAAGCTAATTTTTAAAAACAGTTTACAGTATATCTGAGGTAACATGATCAAAGATAAGACTTTATAATTAATAAAAGTTAAGTTTATTATAGCAGAAATACATGAAAATAATATACAAGAAATAACAGTAAATTTTTGATATAGACTTTTGGTAACTTTAAAGCAGTGACCACAAAAACTCATGATCATCTCAGATGGATAAAAAGTATCAGACAGGGCTTCTCTGATGGCTCAGTGGTGAAGAGTCCACCGGCCAATGCCAGAGACACGGGTTCGATCCCTAGTCTGGGAAGATCCCACAGGCCATGGAGCAACTAAGCCCATGCGCCACAGCTATTGAGCCTGTGCACTAGAGCCTGAGAGAGGCAACTACTGAAGCCCGCACGCCCCAGAGCCCATGCTGCTAAAACTAGAGAAGCCACTGCAACAAGAAGCGCACACACCACAGCAGAGCAGTCCCGCTCTCCACAGACAGAGAGTGCACACTGCAACCAAGACCCAGCACAGCCAAAAACAAAATGACACTGAAAAAGGTGTCTGACAAAATCCAACACCCTTCTGTGATAAAATCATTCAACAACTAGGAACTGAAGGGTACTCTGTCAACTTGACTAAGAGCATCTATGAAAAACGCACAGTTAAAAATTTTTGCATGACAATAAACAATTAGATGACTTCTCCTAAAAGGTCAAAAGTAAGACAAGGATGCCTGTTCTCAAAACTTCAACACTGTAACACATCCAGGGCAACTGGGCAAGAGTAAGACATAAAAAACATCCATATTGGAAAGGAAGAAGTAAACATGTCTATCCACAAATGACATGATCTTACATATAGAATACACCAAGAAATCTACTAACAACCTATCAGAACTCATAAACATTTCAACAAAGTTTCAGGATATTCGACAAAGGAGGCAAGGATATACAATGGAAAAAAGACAACCTCTTTAACAAGTGGTGCTGGGAAAATTGGTCAACCACCTGTAAGAGAACGAAACTAGAACACTTTCTAACACCATACACAAAAATAAACTCAAAATGGATTAAAGATCTAAATGTAAGACCAGAAACTATAAAACTCCTAGAGGAGAACATAGGCAAAACACTCTCCGACATAAATCACAGCAGGATCCTCTATGACCCACATCCCAGAATTTTAGAAACAAAAGCAAAAATAAACAAATGGGACCTAATGAAACTTAAAAGCTTTTGCACAACAAAGGAAACTATAAGCAAGGTGAAAAGACAGCCCTCAGATTGGGAGAAAATAATAGCAAATGAAGCAACAGACAAAGGATTAATCTCAAAAATATACAAGCAACTCCTCCAGCTCAACTCCAGAAAAATAAATGACCCAATCAAAAAATGGGCCAAAGAACTAAACACACATTTCTCCAAGGAAGACATACAGATGGCAAAAAAACACATGAAAAGATGCTCAACATCACTCATTATCAGAGAAATGCAAATCAAAACCACAATGAGGTACCATTACACGCCAGTCAGGATGGCTGCTATCCAAAAGTCTATAAGCAGTAAATGCTGGAGAGGGTGTGGAGAAAAGGGAACCCTCTTACACTGTTGGTGGGAATGCAAATTAGTACAGCCACTATGGAAAACAGTGTGGAGATTTCTTAAAAAGCTGGAAATAGAACTGCCATATGACCCAGCAATCCCACTTCTGGGCATACACACCGACGAAACCAGATCTGAAAGAGACACGTGCACCCCAATGTTCATCGCAGCACTGTTTATAATAGCCAGGACATGGAAGCAACCTAGATGCCCATCAGCAGACGAATGGATAAGGAAGCTGTGGTACATATACACCATGGAATATTACTCAGCCTTTAAAAAGAATTCATCTGAATCAGTTCTAATGAGATGGATGAAACTGGAGCCCATTATACAGAGCAAAGTAAGCCAGAAAGATAAAGACCATTACAGTATACTAACACATATATATGGAATTTAGAAAGATGGTAACGATAACCCTATGTGCAAAACAGAAAAAGAGACTCAGATGTATAGAACAGACTTTTAGACTCTGTGGGAGAAGGCGAGGGTGGGATGTTTCAAGAGAACAGCATCGAAACATGTATATTATCTAGGGTGAAACAGATCACCAGCCCAGGTTGGATGCATGAGACAAGTGCTCGGACCTGGTGCACTGGGAAGACCCAGAGGGATCGGGTGGAGAGGGAGGTGGGAGGGGGGACTGGGTTGGGGAATACATGTAAATCCATGGCTAATTCATTTCAATGTATAACAAAAACCACTGCAATGATGTAAAGTAATTAGCCTCCAACTAATAAAAATGAATGGAAAAAAAAAAAGTTTCAGGATAAAAGATTAAGATACAAAATTAATTGTATTTCTATGCACTTACAATGAACAATAAGAAAATGAAGCTAAGAAAACAACTCCATTTACAAAAGCATCAAAAGAATAAAAATAAATTTAACAACAGATATGCAGAACTTTAAAAAGAAAAACTACAAGAAGTTGAATGACGTGAAGGATCTAATCAAATGCAAAAAAAATCCCATGTTCAAGGACTGAAAGATTTAAATACTGGCCGGAAGGTAATACTTTCCAAATTGATATGTAGATTCAATAAATACCTATCAGAATCCCAACCATCTCCTTTAGAACTAACAAGATGATTCTAAAATTCATGTGGAATTGCAAGGCACCTGGAAAAACCAAATCAATCCTGAAAAAAAATAAAGTAGGAGGACCTCCCAACTGCAAAATTTACTACTAGGCAATGGTAATCAAGACAGGGTGGTATTGGAATAAGAACAGACATATAGATCAATGGAACAGAACTGAAAATCTAGAAATAACTTCATGCGTTTAAGGTCAACTGAGTTTCTACAAGGGAGTCAAGTCAATTAAATAGGGAAGAAATAACCTTTTCAACAAATTATGCTCGGATAACTGGATATCCAATGGACGTGAACCTTAAAACCATACACAAAAATTAACTCAAAATGGGTAGTAGGCTAAAAAGGAAGATCTAAAACTATAAACTTCTTAAAAGAAAATACAGAAGTAAATATTGACCTTGGGCTAAACAACACCTTATTAGATAAGACATCAAAAGCGTAAGTGAGAAAAGAAAAAAATAAATTGAACTTCGTCAAAATTAAAAATATTTATGCTTCAACAGATATCATCAAGAAAATGAAAGACAAAACACAGAATTTGAGGAAATGTATATCTGCAAATTACATTATCTGATAAAGGACTTGTATGTGGAATGTATAACATGACCCAATGATAAAAAGACAACCAAATTAAAAAACAGACAAAAGTTTGAACATTTCTCCAAAGACACACAAATGGGTAATAAGTAAACACATAAAAAGATGTTCAACATTATTAGCAATCAGGGAAATGCATATCAAAACCATAAAGATGCATCACTTAATACCCACTAAGACAACAATAACCAAAAATATAGTAACAAGGAAATGGAACAATTTGAATTCTCATATACACTGCTGGTGGAAGTGTAAAACAGTGCAGCTGGTTTACAAAGGTAAACTAGTTTGAGGGTTCCGCCAAAGGTTGAACACAGAGTTATCATATGACCCTGCAATGCTACTGCTACACACATAGTCAAGAAATGAAAACATATATATATGTACCAAAACTTGTATACTAATTATTGCATTATTCAAAATAACCCAAAATGGAAATCCAAAGTGAATGGATAAAATAAATACTGTATAACCATACAATGCACTACTATTTAGCCAGAAGAGAGAATAAAGCACTGATATATGGATGAACCTTGAAAACATTATGCTAAGTGAAGGAAGCCAGTTACAACAAGACTACATTTTGTATGATTCATTTCATTTGTGTGAAAGGTCTAGCTCAGAGAACTCTAGAGACAGAAAGTAAATTAGCAGTTGCTTAGAGCTAGGGCGAGGGAGAGGAGAAGCAGTGTCTGCTGGTGGGCACAGGAGTTTTTTTTTTTTCAAGTTACTGATGCGACATGTCAGAAAGAAAAGAAAACTACAGCCATCACAACCACTAATGAATAAGTAAGTTCTCTCTGACAGTGTTGTTTGATGCTTAACAAGCTTGGTCAAAGAAGCGGGATTTAATAGAGGATAAAAATGCCTTGAAAAGAGACTGAGAATCTCAGGGTAAGGGGAGAGTAAGGCAGAAGGAGAAATTCATTTGATCACTTCCTCCTCCTTCTAAATTCTTTATTCTTTGTTTTTATTTTCTTTCCAAAAATTTATATCACATTAAAAAGTTCCTGATGAAGTATTCTGTAAAATTCATCCAGATTAAGTCACCCCAATAAAAACAAAAGTTTCCACTGTTTTTTATTTTTACTCCCTGCAACACACTGCTTTACATATCTGTACAATATTCCACACACTTATGCAGCACTGTAAAGACATTATATAAGTAATAAGAAATGCTGTTTAAAATAGTTTGGATGTTCACAGGCACTGATGATATACTTTCCCTTCATTTATTAATTTTCAGCTAATCATATTATCTCCATGTCAGGTCCTTACACCTGGCATTTTCTTTTATCATTTTGCTCATTAATTAGCCACATCCCTACTATATAATTGCAAAAGCAAATAATGACAAAGCTTAATGGAGCAAACAGTTCTTAAAATTGCCTAAAATTCTCAATGCATGTAAACCTTTGTGAAATAATCAACAGAGAAAAAAGAATACACTAAAAATCAAAACCACATTAAAATTAAGAATGCATATTATGACAATGAACACAACAGCTAAACAAGCTGTGTGCCTGACTGGAAGAGAAAATCTGGATCTTTAAGCAGTGGGTAAATAACCACACTAATGAGAAAGAGTACTCACCTGGTTTTGGCACTGAGTTGGTCACTGACTGGGGAACTTTCTGATTAATTAACTCAACACAGTGTCCAGGGAAGAGTCCCACCTAAAGAAGAAAGGCAGCAGAGAGAGGATTCTAAACCAGGGAACAGACCAGTGTGTGAGCATTGCCAATTCAATTCCAGTAATGTGCTCCACAGCCCCTCCCAGCGATTCTGCTATCCCAAGACTCTAAATCACTGATGATGCCAATTATACAAACAAATAAAACAAGCTGTTGCTATGAGTATATAGAGTGATGTGTTTTATTTGCCTAAAAGTCTAAGTCTTCTTTTCTAGTTTTAGCTTTTAATTTCCCAAACTTCTTTTACTCTAATTAAAATATTTGGTCTGATACCAAGCTATGCATGGCAAGAGGTATAATTTATACCTGTTAATAATTTACTTTGCTGAAATTTCAATCCAGTTGTATGAACACTTCTACTGCCCACTTTCATATTTACTGACTTCTCTATGATTTTTTTTCAAAGCAACACTAAACCACATTCAACTTTTTTGTGTATTTTTCCTTCATTCTCTCATAGGTTCAGTGAAAAATGACAAGACTAAATTAAAGTAACCTGACGAAACGATTGCTCACTTAAAATCCTGGTATTCATTCTTGGTAAAGAGTCAGAAGTGTGTGGATAAGTGGGGAAGCAAGAGAAGAAAACAACCAATCTCGGCTTTTAAAAAGCACACCAAACTGACCTGGTAGCAAATTGCTCGTGGTGTTAGGAAGACCCCCCCAAGGAGCTGTGATAGGAAAATACTGAGCTCCAGATCACCCAGAGATACTACACAGCCAGCAGAATGAATACAGATATGAAGATCCAGGAAACAAAAGTAAAAAGGAAATTTTTACCAATATTTATAGATGTTTTCTTAGACAGGAATATGATTGGGCTGCCAAGCAGCAGATGTTAAAGCTGAAACAAGAAAACTACATCACTTTGTACATCCCTCTGTTGTCAGACTCTGGGGAAGAAAGGAACAGCTTTCCAAGAGTCTGACTCATCGTGAAGGTCTGCGCTGTATAATTTTCATCTGCGTGGGAGTATTTCACATACTAATTTGTTGCATTCTTACTTCAATTTCTTGATCGATATTCTACGTTAGCTCTTAAAATTATGAAGATGTAACCAGTTATCATGAGTTTAAAGGGCTTATTAATAAACTATCAGCTTGTTTAAAAGATTTGATTTAGGATCTTAAAGTTCCTATATGCACTGCCTTCTAAAATGATGCTGTATCTGCTTTACTGGTGAAATTCTATACCATATTTTACTCAACTTCCTATTTAACTAATCAACAAGTAGAAATTCTTCCAAGATTGGTTAGAACCAGATGAGAATCAATTTGAAAAATCCTTCTCATTCTCTCTTACACAAACCACTTCTAAGGGAATTACTTATGGTTAAGTGTAGCCCCGGGATTGGGGCTTCCCAGGTGGGTCAGTGGGTAAAGAATCCACCTGCAATGCAGGAGATATGGGTTCAATCCCCGGGTCAGGAAGATCCCCTGGAGGAGGGCATGGCAACCCACTCCAGTATTCTTGCCTGGAGAATTTCATGGACAGAGAAGCCTGGTGGGTTACAGTCCATGGGGTCACAAGGAGTTGGACACGACTTAAGCAACTGAGCATGCACCTAGCCCCAGGATTAAGAGGGCCTCGGTTCTATTCTAGGCCTGCCACTTACTAGGCTGGGTTTATAACTTAGGCTCCATTTGAGTTTCTTCCTCTAAACATAATAATCTTGTGCCTAACTCATAAGGTTTGTTATGAGGATTAAACAGATGAGTATAAGCAAAACGCATGTAGTAAGCACTTGTGCAACATTATCTGTTCTTTATTATTCCAGTATGTTGGCCACTAGAAGACCTAGAGGGTTTCAGCTCCTCCAATGTATAGATGTGACATGTAATACCTACTACCTTTTGCCTGCATGTACTTAAGTTTCCTCACTATCAAATATCACTCTTTCCATAAAATTCTAATTCATTTCCATTTATAAACATCTTCTGCAATTTGCTATAGAGAAAAGACCACTCATTTCCTAGGCTCTGTGATCTGCAGCAAATTGCTTAATATCTGTTTCTTAATTCATAAAAATGGGACATCATTAGCTACCTGAATAATCTGTGTAAAAGCACCTAGTCTAGTTTCTAAACTCAAATATCTGTCAGCAAATAAAAATAGCTTGCTATTATTTCTTCACAAGATTCAACAAAGCTTAATGATCTTCTTTAAAGAACTGTATCAAATTGGTACATACTTGTTGCACTTTCACCTTTTAAATGTCTCAAGGTCCAGGTATATGGGGGGAAAGCTGCTGTGTATTATGCAGAGGTAGGTAAATGGGAGGTTCACCCAATGTCTAATTCCCATCCCTGCTCGCCTATCTCCCTTTAGTATAAAGTGCAATATTACTAAATGCTGCTGCTGCTGCTAAGTCACATCAGTCGTGTCCAACTCTGTGCGACCCCACAGACGGCAGCCCACCAGGCTCCCCCGTCCCTGGGATTCTCTAGGCAAGAATACTGGAGTGGGTTGCCATTTCCTTCTCCAATGCATGAAAGTGAAAAGTGAAAGTGAAGTCGCTCAGTCCTGTCCGACTCTTCGCGACCCCGTGGACTGTAGCCTACCAGGCTCCCCCATCCATGGGATTCTCCAGGCAAGAGTACTGGAGAGGGTTGCCATTGCCTTCTCCGATTACTAAATGCTAGCTGAACTAAACACTCAGTTTTCCAGATTCCTTGCGTTCAGGGTGTAGCCATGGCACATGTGAAAAGCTCTATTCTGTCTCTTCTTTCTGCTGTGTACCCAGGTGCTGGGAGTGGATCAGCAGCAGCAATCATCTAACCTTAAAGAAAGGCCAAGAGAATCTTAGGTAATTCTGCCTAGCTTCATTAAGCTGCTGACTCAACTGCAGCAATGGTACCTTTTCTGTTTGCTTTTGTTTCTTGAAGCCAAAAGCACTTCTAACTGTAACTCTTTTAAGTAAGACAGTTAAGATAACTCTTACTTAAAAGAGCTAATTCTGTGTACTTGTGAAAAGCAATAGATTCTATTTTCTTACTATAAAATTTCAACCATAAAAAAATGAAACTGTGTTCCATTGAAAATATATACATAACTAACCCTAAAATTACAGCTAATGAACATTTAAAATTTTCTGCCACTTCATGGATCACAGCCTTATGGCGAAGGGGCTTACGTAACTCAATGATGCTATTAACCATGCCGTACAGGGCCATCCAAGAAGGATGGGTCACAGTGAAGAGGTCTGACAAAACATAGTGCATACTTAAGCCAATATTTTACCAAATATAAATTAATTCTAATAAACTCAAAATGCTCAATGTTAAAAGTGACTGGAATTCCAACAGTGTGAGCTATGAATTATATTTTCCTGTTTCCTGTATTGTGTTCTCTGCAGAATTGGCATTTTGTAAAGCTCTAATTTAAATGACTGAGAAAGGTGAGAGGAATTCAGTATATTTGGCAGGAGTCAAAATGAATTTCTACTCTAGGAAGAGGAGGGAAAGAAAAGAAAAGATGAGCATCCAGCGTCCACAAGGGTAGAGGAGTAGCTAATAAAAATAACAGAAAAAAAAAAAAAGACAAGGCCGAGGGATGGGCTTAAAGGAAGGAGAGAGAACCTTCAGTCTGGTAGTTTTCCCCTCAGTCAGTTTGGCATGAAGAAGAAAGAAGAGTATATGGATGTAAGAGACACAGAGGCAGAAGACATGGAAACTGTCATAGGATTAGACACATGAAAAGTTAAGTCAGATGCTTCTGCAGTTCTTTCCCACTTTTACTGAGGTATTGCTGACAAACAAGCTGTGCACATTTAAAATGTACATTCTGATAAGTTGACACCCATAAAACTGTATCCACATTCAAAATTATGAATATACTTATCAACCCCCAGAGTTTCCTTGTAACTCTCTGTAATTTCTCCCTCTCCCTAGCAGCCCTCGCCCCTGCTCAACAGGCAACCAAGTTTCTACCACTACACATCACTGTGCAGTTCCTACACTTTGATATGAGTAGAGCCATGCAGAATGTACTTTGCTGTTGGTTTTCTTTCATTCAGCGTAATTATTTTGAGGATCGTCATGTTGCTGTATTTATCACTAATTCTTCCTTTCATTCCTTAGTAATATTCTATTGTGTAAATGCCACCGTTCGTTTATTCATTGATCTCTTGCTGATGAGATAACTGGGTTGCTTCCAGCTTAGGGCCATTACGCATATGGTTGCTATGAATTGTCCACATGTGAGTTTCTGTATGAAGGCACATCTTCTTTTCTCTTGGATAAACACCTAGGAGCAGAATGGCTTGATCCTGCCATCGGTATATGTTTAAAACACTGACAAACTGTTTTCCAGTTGGTTGGAGCATCTTATATTGCCCCAACTATGTCAGTGTTCCAATTCCTCCACATCCTTGCTGTTCTAGTAAGTATATAGCAAGGTCTCACTGTTATTTTAATTGCATTTCTCTAATCACTGCTGAAGCTGAAACTCTAATACTCTGGCCACCTCATGCAAAGAGTTGACTCATTGGAAAAGACCCTGATGCTGGGAGGGGTTGGGGGCAGGAGGAGAAGGGGACGACAGAGGATGAGATGGCTGGATGGCATCACCAACTCGATGATCATGAGTCTGAGTAAACTCCGGGAGTTGGTGATGGACAGGGAGGTCTGGCGTGCTACAATTCATGGGGTCGCAGAGTCAGACACGACTGAGTGACTGAACTGAACTGAATCACTGTGGTTAAGAGTCTCTTGACAGGTTTGTCATGTATCTTTTTGGTAAATTGTTCCCATATTTGCCTTTTTTTTTAAATTGAGTTCTGTCTTCATGTTGAATTTTGAGAGTTCTTTATATGTTGGAGATACAAGTACTTGATCAGATATAATCACTGCAAATATTTTTTCCCAGTCTGTAGTGCATCTTTTTATTGTCTTATAAATAACACCTTTCAAAAAGCAGCAGTGTTAAATTTTGATGAAATTTATTATTTTATGAATTGTTCTGATAACACATCTAAGAAATCT